CACACACACACACACACACACACACACACACACACACAAACTTTGTCCCTCTCTGGTAAAATTTTTAAAATGAATAAAGTTAAATAAAGTAGTTATCTTTTATAAAAAAGAATGCAAAGAGAAGACTTCTCAGAAGGAATATTAAAACTACATCTTCTTACTTGAGCATAGAAGATATTTTAGGGATCGTTTATAAAATAAATCGACTTCTCCTCATCCTTAGCACACCCTCAAATGCCCTGTGCGTGATGCGAGAAAATACTCTGAAGCCGCTGGCTAATAAGGGAGCCCTCACAGAACACATCTCTCCCTCCATCTGTGGGGACTGGCGGGGTGTGAGGCAGGACGGGAGCCGACTGACTCAGGGAGGCAGTGCTTGTCTTGACCTCGGGTTTCGGTAAGTGCATTCTCCATGGACACTGGTGACATCATAGGATCAGTCATCTGTGGGGAAAGCGAAGTCCTGTTGAGGCATCCATAATGATGCGGACGGTGCTCCATGCAGAAGCCACGTCCATGGGACTCCTCAGGGATAAATGTCAACAAAGGGCCTGATGGCCCAGCTGTGGTGGCACGGTGATAGAACGCCCCGTGACAGATGCTGAAGCCATATGAGAAGTCCCCAGGTTCACGTCCTGGGGCCTTTATGAATTCTTTATATGTAATGTTAGAGACCAGATGGTGGCTTAGGGGTAGCACAATAGATCCATATAGGAGGGCCCCTGGTTTTCACGCTGAGGTCTCCCCGTTCATGCGGCCATGCACGTGAGTGCCTAGGACGTGAGCAGGCTGCAAGTACAAGTTGAACACAGCATGAGAGCTGCAGGGAGCTTCTCTCTCTCTTCCTCTTATGGAACAAGTGAACAAATAAACTTAAAAAAAAAAAAGAAAGAAAAAAGGAAGGGTCTGAAATTAAAGGTGCCGATTCAAGAAGATTTTATTGGACCACCTGTCAAGTGAAGATGCATGGATAATTTTGCCTTTTCTTTATTCTAATATGTATTGATCAGTATCAGGAAAAAAAAAAGTGTGCTATGACATGTAATAGCCTCCCCCAGCAAGAAAAGGCAGGGCAGATCACAGTATGGGTTACAGTTACTAAATTATTTTTTATGGACAATTAACTTTTTCATTTAAATACACACATGTCCTAGTTTTCTTATCCTGCTTCTATGACCCATGTTATGGCAAAGACCCTGTGGGTGGTAAGTTCAGTCCTGAGGAGGTTTGTCAAGAAGAATTGATTAACAGTGACAGGAGTGGACAGAGATGTAGACTGCATGGCCAAGCCCTCATACCTGCCCTGCAATATTTTATGTTTTAAAAAGTCGTTTTGTTACAGGGCATGTGCACTCACCAGACAGAGCAAGAGAGAGAGAGAGACAGAGAGCGGGAGAGAGAGAGAAAGATAGTTAGACATCACCCCCAAATCCCCAGAGGGGGTGGCCACACTGCAATCCCTTCTCCTCCATTCTCCTCTTGGCATTTTGGACATGGACACACACACACACACACTCATCATGATTTTCAAGTTGCCATGTCCAGGACTCGAACTGCATAGTTGGCCGTGTGGAATTTGGCACCTTAACCACCACACTACCTGCTGGTACCTCGGTCGATTTTAAAACAACTAGTTAAAATGTGCAAATTAGAAACCTTCACCTAAACATTTAATTCCATTGGGCCACTTGGATAATATAGATTTTACTTCCCCCCCACCTTACATTGATGGGTAAACTGACCTAAGACATCTTCTAACTGATTCATATTTTTTATCTCCTTCCCACCTCCTCTGCCTTCTCCTCTTCAAACAGAAAACGCTGAGCCCTGTGACCCGAGGCAGCTCTTTTTCCCACCCCCACGGCCAGCGTGACTTCACTTGGCTTGCTCACCCTGCCTGTGGCACCACCTTCCCCACCTGCCCTGTCTTGCCCAAACTCTCCTTTGCTCTACCAGGTGATTCTCAACCACCTGGGGAGTATTTGAAACCACCAATGCTTAGATCTCCCACACCTCTGTCCAAAGATTCTGATAAAATTGGTCTTGAGTGAGATGTGGACTCTGTTATCCTCCTCCTCCTCCTCCTCCTCCTTCTTCTTTTGTTTTTATTTTTTTTTTTTTTTTTTTTTTTTTTGACTGAGGCACTTCACACTCCCACACCTCTGTCCAAAGATTCTGATAAAATTGGTCTTGAGTGAGATGTGGACTCTGTTATCCTCCTCCTCCTCCTCCTCCTCCTTCTTCTTTTGTTTTAATTTTTTTTTTTTTTTTTAGATTTTTGCCATAGGGTACATGCACTCACCAGAGAGAGAGAGAGAAAATGCAAAATCAACCCCTACCCATCCTGGAGGGGGGAATGGCCACACAGGAAGCCCCTCTCCTCCACTGTCCTCCTGGGATTTGGGAGCATGCATGCTTAAGTGCCCGGTGTGATTTTCAAGCCACCAGCTTTGAGTCTCGAACTGCGGTTGGCCATGTGGGGATGCAGCACTTTAACCACCACATCATCTGCTGGCCCCAACACTGGTATCTTTTTTAAATTTTTCTTCTATTTTCTTTCTTTTTTTTTTAACAGGGGAAAGTGTGAACACAGTCCCTCACTACCACAAATTATGCAGTCAAGTTTCCCACATCTGGGGCAATCACAGCACATCTGGAGTGCAATGGATAAGCCTTGCCCTGGGAAAACCACGTTTGTGATCACGGTATTGCTCCTGCCAGGTAAGTCTAACACTGGTATCTTTTTTCATCTCAGCCAGTGTGAGGTACTGCAAGGGTGGGGAGCCTGGACTCCTGTCTGCTCCAGCCACTCTGGACTTTCTCCGGAGTCTCTCTACCAGCCGGGCTCCCTCCAGGAGAGTTTGGAACGGCAGGTAGTAACACTGGAACCCCTGTCCTTCCCACCTAGCAGCAAGGTCTCTGATCCTACCCAGCATGGATTATCCAGCAAACCACTGCCTCCCCTTCACCTCCCACCCAGGGATACGTGTGTGGAGAGGAACCCACAAAATCTCCCCTCCAAAACTGAGCTATAGGACACCCAGGAGGGCAGCACATGAAAAGGCCAGGCCTCTGGGCCTCTACTGTAATTCTTCTGCCTTGCTTAGTGCTCAAAATTTAATAATCAAAAGTGAATTCAACTCTCCAACAAATGGAAGCAAGCAGAAAAAAGGAGAAAAGGATCTAGGCTGAGGTGGGGAATTATTTATAGTATTTGACACCAAAGTGTATCTGAAAACCAGAAATGGTGGCATGGTTTTGTTTTCTTGGGATTCTATCACCAGAATAGCACCTGAGCACTTCAGAAACTGTGCAGGGAGGCTACTCAGATATTGTGAGTGGGAGCGCGCGCACGTGTGTGTGTGTGTGTGTGTGTGTGTGTGTGTGTGTGAATAACCAAATTCAGCCCCTATGTTCGTTTGATTAAAATGAGGGTGACTTAGTAAAATTCCTCTTTTATACTACACAAGACCAAATCTTGGAATGTTTTCACATGGAGTTTACAGTGTTTTTTCACCACCCAATAAAATGCTTTGATTCCTTCCCGCCGCAGACAGTTTTAAGAGCATTCGTTTCACATGGTGTTCTCGGTATGCTTTTTAATTTTTATTTTAGGTTCATTTTTATCACTCCATCTCCTGTCTCCTGCTCTGGGCATAACTTCAGTCCAACGTCTCTGAGCAGACTGGTTCCTAGCAGCACATGCATGGACAGACGCTTGTGAGGGACTCGGTGTGTCTTAGGGTGAAATGATGTGTGGTCCCGTGGGTTATTAGGACGTTCAGAGATCCGAGCATAAACTCACCACGCAAAATATTTAACCTCTTAATGGTTTACCTTTCTGTATCTTTTCCTGCACAGGAAAAACTGCAAGTCACTGCTAAGCAGACTGGCTTTTACAAAGCTACTTCTTGGGACCAGCAGTTAGTGTAATGGCTATGTCCCTGAACTCCCATGTAGTCAACTGCAGTTCGAGTCCCGGACCCGGTGGCTTAAACTCATGCCAGGTGCATGCATGCCTAAGATCCAGAGAAGAGAATGGAGGAGAAGGGATTGCGGCATGGCCATCCTCCCGGGGGGTGACTTCTTGCTTTTTGTCTCTCTGTCTCTCTCTGTCTTTCTGGCGAGCGCACATGCCCTTTAGCAAAAGAAACAAACAAATAAATAAATAAATAATTACTTCTTCGTCCATATTTTTAGTTTAATTAAGATCTTTTGTAAATCGATAAAATGTGAAAAAAAAGTTTAGTATAGAAGGGAGGAAGAGGAAAGGGGAAGGAAAAAGTAAAAGTATGTTTAACTGACCAAAAAAATGAGAAGTTATTTGCTGATGATAATGTATATAGTAATATCTTTGTCTTGACTGATAAGCACGGTATTTGTGCTGGAAAAAGAAATGTTGTACACTGTAAAGATACATGTGATTAAATGTAAATTTTAAAAAGATAAGCAAAAAAAATAAAAAATAAACATAAATAAAAAAGCTACCTCTGGGAACCAGCAGTTAGCGTAATGGCTATGTCGCTGGACTCCCACGTAGTCGACCGCGGTTCACG